TTTTTAATAACTTTTTTTATTTCTCAAAGGATTCATGTCAAATTTGAATTGTAATAAATTTAGACCATTTAATACATAAATATAAGAATAAATACTGTAAACTTTTTAAATCTTCATAAAACTTGACCTGACCAACGCTGACAATGACAGGACCAAATGAAAATGCTAATAACATTTTTTATTTCTTAAAAGATTCATGTTAAATTTGAAATAATAATAAAATTTTATCATTCAATATATAAGTATAGGAAAAAAATATAAAAAAAATCCGAAAAAGTTACCTTTCTAACGTTGACAATAACCTGACCAACGACTGCAAAGACCTAACCGATGAAACTTTCTGTGTTATTTTATATTATTAAAAAAAAAACAGGAAAAATATATGTTTTTGGGTAAAAAAACTTGACCTGACCAACGTTGACTGTGTCCTGATTGTTGTACTACCTAATACTTATTTATATCTAATAGGATTTGCTTAAAATTTATTAACAAAAACAACATTAAGATTGAATGGTAAAGTCTTTATCAAATAATAAAAAAAAAACTGGGGAAAATATTTTAGGGTACTGTGACGAGCACGGGATTATTTAAACTATTTATAGTATTGAGTAGTATATTGTATGTTTCTGTGTTGTAAATTATATTGTATATTACCGGTTATAATTTGACACGTTTGATCACAAATATAAAGTAACATACATAAGGTGAGAATTGGCCATAAATACATGTAAGTTGATAAATCCAATATAGTTTGTTTTTTAATATTTTCTTAACAGTAAATAATTATTTCTACGTCCAACTTAAGGTATGCCCGAGCCCATGTACGTACGATATCTTGGTAGTTTAAAATATTTTCATAAAATATAAGTAAACATAATCGCGGATTTAACATGAGGCATGCCAGAACCTTGTCTTAGTTTTTATGTTCCCGAAAGTCAATACATTTATCGTTTGCTTATATGTTTGAAAATCATTTTATATTTTCTTATTTGATAAAATTAATGGTTCAATCTAAACATTGAGTCCTGTTCAAAGTAAAATCTAAACTTTGTTTGTTAAAAGATAAAATTAATGGTTGAAACTAAGTGTTTCTATGATTTTGATGCAAAGCCTTTTACATATAAATAGGTTTATAGTCATTTTTCCTGGTTATAATAACTGTCGTCAGAATGTAGGACAGAAAGTCACAGACAAAAAGTCACAGACAAAAGACACGGACAAAAAGTCACATGTGTAATATGTTATAAACATTGAGTCCTGTTTCATAGTAAAATCTATTTTTTTTTTTGTTAAAAGAAAGACAATATGCTAATTTGGAGAAACACCTTTCTGTAAAGGGCTTTCATTGAAAATCAAATTATATGTACATGTATATAATTCTTTATACATATATAATCATTTTAACGTTACCCTGTGTAAAGTTATCATATTGTCAATATTTTTTAATTTGCTGCTAAAAATCCATAAAGATAATCGTTATTTTCTCAAATTTCAATAATCCAATACCTATTACTAATGTTAAGATAGTGCTACTTTAGTCAGTTCCAAGGGACCCTGAGCCTACCTTATCTTTTCATTAGAAAGATCTTGTTGATTACATATGGAATCACTGAAGCATGTATGTAGCGGGCTTTCTCTTGAGGCAGTCCGTGGGACCCCTTATATGAAAATTGTCTAGATGTTTTAACAAAATCTTACCCTCCCCTCCCCCCTCCACCCCCCCCCCCCAAAAAAAAAAAAGAAACCCAACGATATTGATTTTTTTCATTTGTGAAAAGTATTTATTTCTGTGCCTCACACAAACAATTTTAAGCTTGGCCTTTCTTGAACTGTCAATTAAATTTTCTGATTGTATCTTCTTAATAATATGTATAAATAGTTAGAAGCTAGAAGCTATAATTCCAAACTGTCAACACCAAGTGGCTCTTTGATCTTTAATCTTCACTACAGCATTTGACTAATTAGAGTTGATGGACTGACTTGTAAAAACCATCGTTCTTTGACACTGCGTTAGATTGAAAACTTACAGAAGAGAGTTTTTGTATGAGAGATTTGGTCTATTTTAAAGCGTTTTCCATGTTTATGCATGTAATGTGTTGTTTATATTGCAACACTATCACTAATAGTGCCTGGAATATTATTAATATTTCTCAAATACAAGAAAACCTGCATAATGTAATCAAAATTGTATACATTCATTGCTATATGTATCGAAGTTTATTAAAACGAATTTGTAAAAATCAGCACTCATCAGTAATTTTGAAAATGGACTGCTTGTTTCCATGGCAACGAATTCAATGGCAAATGTTGCACAATTGAATATACATAATTTTTTAAATGATTTTATTTGTTTTTTCTAGATTGAGTAATTGTTTTTCTGGTTACAGTTTTCATTATCATGAAAACAGACTGAAATTTCTTCATAATCAGCACTTTTATCTAGATTAGAGAAATTGTGTTTGTTTCCTTCTAGTGGTAACACCATTATCGATATACTATACTAGCAAACTTATTTATATACACACATGTGTGTATACAATGAAACGTGATAAGTGTTTTAGTTTTCCTACTTTTGTGCACATTTAAGAAAGTAACTGAAACTTTCTCAAAATTGTTTTAAACTTGTGTATCATCATGAAATTGTTTCCATAGCAACACAGTTTAAACTTTAATACTGTTATATATGAATATGTTTAAAACTTTGATGATTACAATAAGTTCTACATATTGTATATTTATTCATTTTTTCTGACTGCAGAATTCCCCATGACTTTTTTGCGTCCTTGATAAGATAAGACTATGGTATTTATGAATTCGTGGTTTACTCAGGTGTCCGCCAAAATATTTGGTGAGCATTTAAAGATGACCTCGAAAGGATATTTTTTACCTAATGCAAACCACATAAAAAGCGGAGTGTAATCGGTTATTATTGAAAATTGATACGAAAACATCAGTTGTTAAATTACATTTAATAAAATGCATATATTTAATAAAATCATAAAAAAATATTCTTTCTCTTATTTATTTAATATGAAAAATTATGTTGAAAATAGCCTTTTTTCAGCTTAAATCATAGATATCCAGAACAGGTAAAACTGGTCATCGGTTGCTATGGCAACCGATATGCATGGTACCCAAAATTTTGCCATTTTTTGTTTGTTTAATCAAGACTAGTAAATGTGTGAAGTTTGAAGAAAATCGATGACCATGTGTGCCACACTCCCTATGTAAGAGTTAAAATAGTTACAGAGAACCAGTTTTAAAGCTTTAGTTTTGATTTTGATTTTCTGTATTTTAACGCAGATTTTACGCACCACTTTTAGGCTATTTCGTGGAGGCCAGTTTTTATTGCTGGAGGAAGCCGGAGTGCCCGGAGAAAACCATCAAACATCGATAGGAAAGCTGACAATCCTAGTCAATTAAGATTAGAGTTGAGTGCACCCGCACGAGAGGGGGTTCGAACTCACAACCTCATTGTTGACTGGCCAGTGATTACAGTAGTAACTACTTATACCACTCGGCCACCGAGGCCCCTAAAGCTTTAAAAATGTCATCTCTTGTATATTATCAGCAAATTTGAGTGTAGTCTTGGCGGTAATAAATATAATATTTATACATTATTAGGTATGTTTCAAATATAACTTTACTTTGTTAAATCGATAGACCATGCTTATGATGTAAAATTGCTTTATAATGCTTGAAATCGAATGAAACACCGAAGTTTAATTTATTATTTTTATTTTGAATTGATTTCAACGTGTTAAAAAGATGTCAATTAACTATATCAATTTGTGTAAAGCAGTTCTGTTTTCATGACAAAAGAAATCTGGTTAATCAGTTGCAATAATTACATTCACCCATAATATATCAATACTTATGGTTATGTCCTTGATTTCTTTTTGAACGCTATTCAAATCTATCTGATGAATAACAAATTGAATTAATTATTTTTGAAAATTTAAGCAGACGATATGGTCCAACATGATTTGATTTTTCTTATGTTGGCTGTTAATGCTTTTCAATTTTGCATGATGTTGGCCATGCGGGTTTTCAATTTTGAGAGCCACTGATGAGTTTCTATAGACGAGACCAGCGTCTTGTGTATTTCATTATTATCCTTGCATCGCTGATGAAAATTTACAACAATAAGGCAAATGCTCTGCTGGTAGAGGTGTTTTAATTGGCGATATACTGTTAACCAACAAATTTTCGCGAGCGATTTATTTTCACGACTTTTGCGAGTAGAAAAATAACGCGAATAGGTATAAACATACCTTTCCTTATTAAACTACAGTAAGTAAATTAGAAAATCGCGAAATTAAAACGTCGCGAAATGGACTAGAAAGGGCTAAACGCGAAATAAAGTATCCGCGAAAATAAATTGGTTTACAGTATTATCCATACAGGCGACGCTAGAATGTTCAATTTTGAAGTGGAAAGTTCACAATTGCCCACACATTGTTGTCAATATAATGGATGCTACGCAACTGTCGTATAAAAGAGAGGCTAGCTATAAAACCAGGTTTATTCCATAATGTCCTAGATAAGGAAATGTCTGTACCAAGTCAAATATATGACAGTTGTTTTTCATTGGTTTATGTGTTTGGGCTTTTGATTTTGTCTTTTGGTACGGGATTTTCAATTTTGAATTGTCTTAGAGTTCGGTATTTTTGTTATTTTCCTTCTTTGGGGAAGCTGAAATAATCTTTTTGTCGTAAAAGATACAGCTATAAAAGCTTAAAACACAAGTTATCTTCATCTCTTAACATGACTTTTTTCAGGTTTCATGTACTAGTATCAAAATTGTTTGTCATTGAAATTTAAAGTAACGGAAGCTATAAATCAATGCCGAAAAATGGAAGAATGGTCACTAGAAAAAATACGTTTATACTTATCCAAATATGCATTTCCTATATTTTAAAAAAAAATGTTACATTTATATTAAAATTTGCCAACACATCTAATATAGTATGAATAGTTTAAGATAATCTCTTATTTAGATTTTTCCCTGGAAGAAATCACAGTTTGCAGATCCCTTTTACGAGAAGACAAAACAAAACAAAAACAAAATGTTCTATTAGCAGATACTACAACAACCAGTCCAAATCTATCAGATGTTACAGAGGTCGCATCAATGTCAGCCAGCAAAGAAGAGCTGACACATAAATCGAACGAATCACAATCGTTCGATGCCACTTCATCTACTGAATGCTTCATGACAGAATCTGTGAAAGCCAAAAAACTACCCGAGCCTCATTTTCAAACCTTACCTGATTGTGCTGGTAGTTTTGCATTAAGTATGGAAAAGAAACTATCAGGTCATGTTGCAGGACAGAAATCAAAAATAGTAGACAACGATGACACATATGAGTCAGAATTACAAGGCAAACCCAGTACCTCAGAAAGGCAATCAGGTAGATTTAATTTTGATGAAAAGTGTTCAGATGACTTAGGCACTAGGAACGAACAAGTAGCACAATATTATACAACTGAAAACGAAAATTCGGATGCTGCGAAAGACAGGAAAATATATGAAGCTTCGTTTGATGAATACAAGTCAATGGACGATTCTCATGATGCTTCTTTGAAGTCAGATTTCACTGGTGATTTGCATATAGAAACTGTTACTAAACCTGGAATTATCAGAAAGCTAAAACACTTTTTTGGCATTACTAAACAAGTTAAAGAAGTCAAAGTGTCAATCACAAAGGAAAAATTCTTAGAGAAGTCATCAAAAGTTGGAAAAAAGAAGTTACAAAACAAAAAGATAGCACCTATAACAATCTGGGATTTTGGAGGGCAGGATGTGTTCTATTCTACTCATCAGACATTTTTAACATACAGAGCTATATACATAGTTGTATTGGATGGAAGTAGAAACCTCGATGATCCTTGTCCATATGAACAGTACCTTCCAGGAAAGAGTGGACATAAAACCTCAAGAGGTATGTATAAACAGGCATTACTGTTCAATAGACAGTTTTACGAAACGATAGTAAAGTAGATAAAAAGATATTCCTAATATGTTAAAAAAAATACGCTTGTAAACTAAAACATCCATTATTGCAAGACTAAGCACTCAATTAATGTATTTAGTAAACAGTATATTATGTAGAAAATAGCTTGAATACCTTCCCCCTGATGTATTTGACAGTTTTTATTTTGTTTATTATTACAGATTATCTGCTATTCTGGATCAACACCATTGTAACATACTGTAAAGGAAGTATTCATGGATTTCCTAAAATTATGGTTGTTTTAACGCACAGAGATCAGGTAACAGCTGTAAGTATGATGTAGTACATTTCTACAATTGAAATAATGGACTGTTTGGATTTGAATAATGTCTTATAATCTAATAAAAAGAGGATGCAACACGTTTTTATTTATATGTCATTTGAATCAGAATGTAACTTTGTAAACTCAAGCAATGGTTTGATTGCAACAAGGTAATTATTTGGTATATACGCAACATACATATCTTCAATTAATTGTATACAAATGAATATATTATAATTATTGATTAATATAAATATAAGTGGTAACATATTATATTGCTGTTTTTTTTAGAATGAAGTTGAACAAAGACGACATGACATATTTGGAGAAATCTACAAGATTTTTCACAAAAATCCATTGATGCAACAATTGGTGATTGATGATGAAATATTTGTAAACGCTAAAGACAATTATGACCCAGAAATGGCGAAGATTAAGGTTGCTATCATTAGGGAATCAGAGAGGCAACCAACATGGGGAGAACCACTTCCAAAGTGCTTTATTCCGTTAGAGTTAGAATTTGCATCGTTAATCAGATGCAACATCCCTCTAATTACACTTGAACATCTAAAGAAAATAAACTCATTGCAGCCAATTAGACCTTTGTCAGAAGCTGAATTGAAGGTATTTCTGAAATTTCAACATTCTATTGGCAAGTTATTGTACTTCAATGAACATAAATTGGACGACCGTATCATTTTGTCTCCCACTCTTCTTATCGATGCATTCAAATCAATTGTTACAGATAGGCAATTTTGTGAAGGGGACAAGAAAAGAGAAGAAATATGGGATGCAATGGGAAAGACAGGGGTGGTATCGAAACAAGCAATAGAAGGCGTTTGGAAGGGAAAGAAATATGTAGAATTTTACCAAGACAAGGATTATCTATTAAATGTCATGACCCATCTTGATATACTGGTTGAACCAAAGAGATATGGTTCTGATCACAACCGCATACCTGCTGACTTTTATTATATCGCAAGTATGGTACGAGCCATAGATGATTCTGGATACCTTCAATCCACTGACATCACTAAACGAAATATTGCCATAGCCTTTCTAACGTCTTCCATGATGATACCCCCAGCATTATCATTTAGATTCATCAGTTACTGTCTGTATGTTTGGGCGGTAAAGACATATGGAGAGACCAAACGGGACATGCTGTTCCATAGGTCAGGAGTTTTCACTGTTGATCCTTCCGTAGATATGTACATTCTCTGTGAGGATGAGAGGATTGTTGTCCGTCTTGTTCATGCTGAAACAAACACACTTATAATGAGGGATATGGCGTCCAGTGTAAACGAATGTTTAGTATCTGCCTTGGAGAAAATCAGTCAGTTGTATATCAAAACAAGTAGCGACCAGAGTCATAACATTGATACATCCTTTATCACCAGCATATGTTGTAACTCACCGGATAACCCATGTATCCTACCGTTAACAAGACTAGCAAACATTGACAAAATCTGGACATGTCCTGATCATAGCATTGAACACAATATACACACAATCACATCGTGGTTTGCAAGAAAGGTATTTAAAAATTAGTTGAAAAGTGTTTCTGGTCAAATTTGTTTTGAACAAAATTATTTGAAACGAAAAAACAATTTGTTCCACAAAACTTGAAAGTTGCATTTGATGACATGTGTATTCGTTTCAGACTTTTCACATAAAGTCCAGTAACAAACAAATTGCTTATAACGGCATTGTGGATTAAAAGAAAGATATACATATTCGTACGATTTGTTTTTAAAGGATCTCTTTCCGATAACTCAATTTATCAACTATATTTTTATTGTCCCCTTTCACGTGAATGGGTTAAACAAAACGCATTTATATTCGATTTTTTTTTAATATAGACTTTTGTGAATGCAAAATATGTGCAATTAATAAAATTTGAACAACCTGTGTTTATAATTACAAAATGAGGAAAATTCTAGAAACATAAGCAAAATAAGAGTCCTTTTGTGACATGTTAATCGTGCGTCTATTGCTGTTTTCATGGTTTGTTTAAAATCCGAAGATTAATAAGAAAAGAAAACGAAATCTATATAAAATGATGTGTTTCGAAATAAAATGAGGTAAACAAAAAAAATACGACCAGCTATTTGCAATTGCCAGTTAAGGAAAATAGTTGATTGAATATCTTTTTTAACTGATAACATTTAAAGTTTTAAATCATCATGTGAGTGACATGATGTAATGTAAAGCACAAATTAACCTATTGTTTCTTTTTTCTAAGGATGAAGAAGAATGTGAACCAGGGTGCCCAGGTATTATATGTTTAGTCAGTAACAAAGAATTATGTAGTTTGTATTTACGTCTCACCTTTGTTATACACAGAGTTATATAATGACAATTGTTTCTTTCTGATATGACGTAGAATTTGGAAACATTAACGGAAATAAAAAAAAATTAAGAAAAACAAATAAAATTCAGAACTCTCTGATTATTACCCGTTTAATGCTGGTTATAAAATACCCCGTTACTATATCCTACCACCTCAATGTTCAATAAACATATTAAGAAAGAACTTTGACCCTTAAAATGCAGTGCGAATAATATAAGTTTTGTCATTTATATATAAAAGACATTTTGTGTATTGCACTGGCCCAGTTTTTCTCAGAGAACCGCAATTCAATCATTTGATCGAGAGTCTCAAAATACACATCGCTATGTATAAATGACTTTCTATGACAATAATGTTGTTATTTGTACAATATACAATCTTTCCAATCCAGTTACAAATGACAACTTTTTGAAAGTGACGCCATCAGATCTACACCTACGTCGTATGTCATTATTGTTCAGTAAAAATGAAGCCAGGGAAATAGCAATCAAATTAGGATTGTCGACCAAGGACATAGATAGCATTCTAGAAACTGAAGATTCAAGGAAATGGAATTTTGAAGTTTTGAGACGATGCAGAGATAGTATTGTGGTTACTTTTAAGCACATCAAAGAAGCAGTGGAGGGAAGTGGCCAAGAGAGTATCCACATACTTTGCAAGGTAAACACATTTTGATGAATCACAAAATTTAGTTAGAATTTCTTTGCCCAATCCCTTTACTTTATTCGTTTTCGGATTTCTTACTTTGTTCTACCACTTTCCTGTCGATGTACCAGACAATGATAAACTATAAAATATAAAAAAAAATATAGCTATGGTATTACACCTTGTACATTGCATTCAATTTTCCGTAAACCAATACCATAACATTTATTTCTATGATCACATTTATTGGACTTCCGTTTTGTTTCTTCAAAATAGTACTGCCTTAATTTATCATAATAACTAAATAACTCGTATATGATGACAGTCAAAGTCATCTTATAGTAACTTTCTATTTTCCCCTTGTATTACAGCTTGTGAAAGGCGATTCTATTGATTTTGGTAAGTTATTAGACTCCAGTATTGTCCTAAGCCTTTACGAACATGGTAATAGATAAGTATATCATTATTGCAATCCCTCGTTTTTTCTCTGCGTTTATTGTCTCCAACAAATCTCGAGCTGATTTAACATGTTTCATAGGTCCACTTTTGTACTCAATTGAATTCAATATTTTGTTTTTCTGAACAGGTTCTAGGAAAATAATTATTAACTGTGCATGTTGTAATTCTCCTTTGACTTGGTAACAAATTTTCATATATAAAAGATCAGTGGATAAGGTTCTGCATTGTCTATAAAATGTCCATACAATTTACAGTGTAACAACATTAATTAGTTAAGAATTATATAAACAGTTATCCTTTATTTGCATATTTTTGATAAAATATGATCTTTTTAATTTTGACTAATAATCAAATATCTTTAAACATCACAGAAAAGGAAGCAGATAAGTGGGATATGGTACTCACAGAGGAGCACATTGACAGATTGGCTCCATTGGTTGGAAATAACTCACTCCCGTTCCTGATAGAACTTGGAATGGAGTTTCAGACCTGGGAGCAGATTACCCACAGGCAAAATGAACGAGATTTGGTACGACTGAACAAGGACATTTTAGAAGAATGGAGATTCCAGTTTTGCAAAATGCACAGTTTGAAACCAACTTTGAGGAATATCGCAAGTGCATTCATTAACATTGGCAAAAATGTACAAATCGTTGAGAAAACTTTATCAGATTTGTTTTGACTGTTATCAAAAATAACTTTCTTCTGTTTGCTCCGGGTGAAAAACGAGTGCGAAATTCTCAGAGAATATTCAACTTTATGAAAAGCATTAATAATTCAATTTTAACTTTTAATTCAAATAGATATACATATTTATTACTTTGTGAAAAAACGTTAATTTAGGTTAACCGTGTTTAAACATTTATGGTAAACTGATCAATAAAGTCTTCTTTCTGTTTGAAATATCACTTTTACGTCTTGTAATATCATAAATATGATATATTTTAGTGTATACCATGTTTTTAATTTTTATTGTATCTTTTTTTCAGCTAGTTCGCTTATTTTCTTCAAGTTACTCTTAAAATAAACAAGGCTGTACAATGATTGATATAGTTTATTGTCCAAACTGAATGTGTTAATTGTTCTAAGAAGCATTTTATCAATAGAAATAGTAAATACAGTTTATGGTCATAACTGAATGTGTTAATTGTTCCGAGAAGCCTCATATAAGTACATATATGCATGTATAATATAAAGGTAAAATGTATATCAGCAATGTTAAACTATACTTTCATAGTTAAAATCTATCTAAGATAGACACTGTCCAACAAAATCAAATACAAAACTTCCGCTTTTCTGCTACATAGACAACATGTGTTGCTTGATGGACTTGTTGGCTGCAAGTTAAAAGAACAAATACTTCTTTAATTGTCAGTATCAGTTAGACACATTAACTTTGCAGTCTGCATTAAAACATTTACATTTTACACTTGTTTTCGTCTTGAATAAACAAGTTTTATAATTTGTCGACTATCGGTCTTTTAATGCATACGCTTTTGAAAACATATTGCAACACATTGATTTACAAGAATCTCACGAAAACTTTACCCGGAAACAAATGAGTCCTGGTATGCTAAACCCTATTAGTTTGTGGCCTTGTTTTTCTTAAAAAGCAAATGCACTCACTGAAAAGGAAGAGTGAGCTCCCTAAAGTAGTGAAACCTGACAATGAGGTAATGTGTCTGTCCAAATATAATATGATTGCTGAATTGTCATAGTTTGGTCAGTTGGAATGATATGATTGCTTAATTGTCATAGTTTTGTCAGTTGGAATGATATGATTGCTGAATTGTAATAGTTTGGTCAGCTCAGAATTGATTTTGGGAGAAAATATGTATCTATGAAAATATTTCACAGAAAGAATATCAATTAGTACACAAACTCTTTTATATGAATGAATAAAACAAACAGTCTAGTTTACTGTTTTTCTCTGAAAAAGGAAAAAGTGTATACGCTTGAATACGCTAGCTGACAGCAGCATTATCGGCTGTAATTTTTAAAGTAGACATCCTTGATATTATGGATACCATTTAAAGAGAACATTTGTGTACGTTCTGGGGTTTTTTAGTACAAGAGGTATAAGTACATTTATTATGTTCCCTATTAATTTGTTACATCAACCATCTAATAATATCAGAACAAAATATGTTTATTGATTAAAAAGGAAAATAAACATAACATCGAATGTTTTTGAGTGCCTTATATGCGAATTTCAATTTTGCCCTTGGAAAATAATCGTAGTAATTCTCAAATCATATACTTTTACAAACGAATAGATATCGGTATATTTTAATGACAGGATCAATAGCATATAGTACAGAGTCATAATAAAAATATAAGAAAAAGCTACACGCTGGATGATTTTAAAAAAGAAGTAAATATATTAGCAAATTGCTTGATTGTCACAACTATATGTGATAACATCATAGTAATCATACTTATCATTAATAAAAAACAAACCACACAATTTAAGAGTTATCACACATTTTTTTTGGTATTTCGTCTATTGATTGGATTGTCGGTTTATGTTTTTTTTTTTTTTTTTTTTTTTTATTTATATAACAGCTACAAACATGGGACAAACAATGCAAAAAGAAACAGTTAATGTGAAATCTTATTCATTCCGGGATATTCTACGCTCCATTTATTTTAGAAACATTTATGAACATAAGGAATAATCACCTACAAAAAGAAACCAATACAGTATGTTAACACGATAAGGTAACAATACTAACTATTTGTCCGAAATCAAGTATAGTCGTGTACATTAATACACCAATGTACACGACTATACTTGAGTTTGGAACAATAAAGTTTACACTAACTAATAGTTAGTATTGTTACCTTATCGTGTTAACATACTGTATTGGTGCTTTTTGTAGGTGATTATTCGTTATGTTCATAATTTCTTATTATGTATGTTGTATTTAGAGTGTACAGTGTAACTGTATGGTATTACATTGTTTATGACTCTAATGATTTGTTCAATAGTACTAAATTATTTCATGTAACTTCATGTTAAATAATATTTAACTTGCTTTTTTAACATTTGGAAGAATGTCAAATAAACGCCTGTTTTCTTGTGACTATCCTCTTACAACTTTGTCATGTATACAGTATTGTGTTTCAACTATTTGAACATGTTCGAAGACGTTTGAATTTTTTTTAATTGCTTCGGGGGAAATTTTCTTTGTTCTATATTTGCAGAACTGACAATAAACACTTCCCCTTACATTTTAACATATTTTTTTACTACTGCAGATAGATTTTAAAAAAATGCTTGATCGTCCGTACTATGATAACAAATATAAATTTCCGGTTTTCCAGTAAGTTTTCCCAAGACGAATTGTTTTGACAGTTATTAACGTTTTCACCATTTTTGTTTTGCTTTTTTTTTTTTTTCGTGGGCATAATGTAATGTTCATGATTAAAGACTAATAATAGCATATGCCTCCTTCAGAATTCAGTTATTATTTTAGTACCTATAACGTGAACATGTTTGTACATAGTCGTAGCTTGCTTGCCTTAATTTTGCCTTCACTAGATAATACATGTATCTATTTTCCTTGAACAAATGAAAACCCAATGGCAATTGTTTACATTTGGTTATATCTTTCAATGTTACTAATGTGTATTATTTACATTGTCTTCTTTCAATGTTGCATTATTATTAAAATCAAGGATTAAGTCATGTGCTTCCTGGTGGTTATCAGTTGCTGCTCCGTCAGTTGCACCAGTCGAGTTGCTCCCGCTAGTACACATCTGGGATATATCAACTTCACTAATATAACAATCAAGGCAACGGGGATAGGATCGTTATTAGAACAAGTGAAATATACCTACAGTAATATGTGAAAAGGGTAAAGTTTAACGTTCAACGAAATCATGATGGCGTTGAATTAATATTAATTAATGTATTTGCGTTATATTTACTGTATTCTCTCAAATCATTTTTAATTGAACTTAGCATTGCGCTAAATGGTTATCAAAGGGGGCGTATACTATTCCTCAAAAGTACAATCTTTGGGTTCTTATTACTATACCACAATGTTATAATTCTTAGAAATAGCTTTTTCTTATTTTGTTGCAATATCAGCAACTCTGGCCACTTATATAATACACAGAATTGTAGCTTTTGGGTGTGTTAATCAACATACCTTTTATTATGACTATACATGATATATATTAACAAGCTTATAAAATAAAAAAAAATGGTGTTATTTATTTTCTTCTTGTGTTGCTTTTTATGTAATCGCATTAAATGTGCATTGACCAAAATTGAAAGACGAAAAAAAAAACAGAACGCACAAGTCCATGTCCAAAGTAAAATATGAACAATGTAAATCAAATTAGTTATGTCTGATGATGTTATGTTCATACCTGGATGTGTCTTGATTTTATGTATGTTGGATGTTCTCGTAGTGATGTACATCATATCATACAGCAACCTTCAAACAAATATTATTTTAATTAACAACATAGAAGACAAGCTGACCCACCGTAATTTGCTATATATGTGTTTGTACTTTTAATTTCGTGAACATAATACTGAAACAAGATTGTCATTGGACAATTAGGTATGATTTACACAAAAGATATACACAAGAGTCTACGTCTTTATCGACCTACTTCAAATGTTTTAATCCGTGACTTTTAGCATTGCTTATTGATTTCACACAAATATTTACAAGAGTCTTCATCAACAGTATTTTTGTTCGAGCATACTGTTTTTCTTAAATTGTTTAACATTTCATACCGATATAACATGTTACTTTTATTATTTTTCCCTTAGTTTATTTATTTTGTATTTACAATGTATCATAGGTCAAATTATTTGTTCAGTGTATGTTCACTGGTGTTAATATGTCCTTTGATTGAGTTAAGCTATTTCAGTTGATATTTTATAGTGTGTCTTTCTATGTTGTGTTGTTACACTATTGTTTCAGAAAAAGGGTGAAGGTTTGGTACCATAAAAACGTTTAAACCCGCTGCATTTGTTTGCACCTGTCCTAAGTCAGTAATCTGATGTTCAGTAGTTGTCGTTTGTTGATGTGGTTCATAAGTGTTTCTCGTTTCTCGTTTTTTATATAGATTAGACCGTTGGTTTTCCAGTTTGAATGGTTTTACACTCGTAATTTTTGGGGCCCTTTATAGCTTACTGTTCGGTGTGAGTCAAGGCTCCGTGTTGAAGACCGTACTTTGACCTATAATGGTTTACTTTTATAAATTTTGACTTGGATGGAGAGTTGTCTCATTGGCACTCATACCACATCTTCTTATATCTATTATTTTTACTCTTTTCTACACATTTAGAGATACCTTCCAAAATTACGATCATTCAGTGAGTTCCTTCAGAACATGCCTTTATTGACTAATTAATAGTGATTGTTTAGCTCTTCTGGACCGATTAGATAAATATTTTACTGCATTCGTTTTACTATGGATTGTCAGCAGCATACGTGAATTCCCATTACATGACATAGTTCATTCCAAAGCTATTTGCAGTTTTGCATCGATGCTTGCAGTTCCTTGCAACCAGATTCAAATTTCGATTAGCGAGCTTCGTATGATCTCATTTATTTCGGTACCCTCTTATTGACATGTAACATCGTATAACCTTGATGAAACTTCTTGTATCTTATTCATGTTACGATTCACATACACATCTCTACTGTTTATGTAATGTGCGTCACACTTTCTGCAAAGTTACATCTACTCCTGTATGGTCCTGAGTGAGCATGTACTGACTTCTCACATAACGTCTTTTATTTG